CCCTGCTCGGCGGGAAGCCTGCTTCTCCCTCTCCCACTCCCCCTGCTTGTGTTCCTGCTCTCGCTATCTCTCTCTCTCTGTCAAATAAATAAAATGTAAAAAAAAAAAAAAGAAAGTAGAGAGGCATGGGATTGTGAATTGGGACTTCTCCATCCACAGTGTAGCAAGGAAGCTCACATCATACATGTTTTGGCAGATAGGATAAGCTTGGCCCTACTTTTTAAAAATTTCATTGAACAAAAACAACAGAATTGGGGGGAAGAAATCTATTGCTCAGCTCCAGGCACACCATGCCTATGAAAATACAACTAGATCTTAAAGCCATATGGAAATGTTATTGTTTGACTTTTTTCTTTTATATATTTTTATGTTCCAGCCAACACAGGAAATTTCCATTCTAGCATCTAATAGCAGTATTAACAATGCATCCAATACTGTGGAACCTAGGGACGGGCAGAAAGTGATGAAGTAACTGGCTTCCTGCCTGAACCACGAGTAGCTGCAAGCTGTTGACAGTGGATTACTTGCTTTACGGCAATTAACTTCACCTCTGGCTCATTCCCATTAAATCAGCATTGGGGAAATCAGTTTCGATGTTCTGAATACAACTAGGAATATAAGAACATAACCATTATGCAATTGGTCTCATTACCGAGTGTGGGCAAAATCTGAAAACGAACGGTAATTTTTATGTATTGACTCTTTCTTTATTCTCTGAAGATACTTAACAAAGACTAGATATTAGATCGGGTGCCTTCTTTTCCACTCTCAGATATAAGCTGATATTTTTTTCTAGGCTCTGTGTTTAACCCCATGAAATGGATATTTTTAATAAAAGTATGTTCTATCCATGTAGATCACATTTCTAGAACTGGCATCATAAATATGGAAACCTGTTCTTGGGAGTGTGTTCAGTGTTTCAATATACATTATTGAAATTCTCTCTATCTTACTGGATGCTCCAAACTTTTAAAAACTTGTGAACCTCTATAAGACTGAGACTACATATGTTCATTCGTCTTTATAATTTTCTCTCAAATTATTTATTTATTTGTTATCGAACTAACAATGGCCAGCAAGTAAGTGAACCAAAAATAAGTGTATTTTACTGAGGACGAAGGGTTTTTCCCTGAGCACTTAGAAATACGTAAGGTTTTTTTTTTTTTTAGCATACATTTGTTTTTTTATTATGTTATGTTAGTCGCCATTCAATACATCATTAGTTTTTGATGTAGTGACCCACGATTCATTGTTTTTTAAATTGAACAACATCCAAAATTGTGCATGCCATTTAATTCTTAGCCATTTTTTGACATTTTTATAAAAATTTCCCCTCAGGGCTTGGGCTTAATATTAAAATGACTATTTCATCTTTTTTAAATGAAAATATTTTTATTTTGTATTGTTTACAACACCCAATATATAATCCAACCTAACCTTATCATTCCCATGCACATAAATAGTTTAATGGGACCCCATAACTTTCAAGACAAATTTAACTCGAGTGCTAGCATAACACTCGGGAATCTTCATGCACTAGCTTCTCTCTATAAAAAAGTAGAAAATGGTCAGAGTATCTCCCACTCCTTGATCCTCATATTTTGCACCCTAAAAATAAACATTCTCACAAACCTCAGTGCCTTTGCACCTATGCATATCCCTGGAATGATTTCTACATCTTCCCATATCACTCTGTACAGTGATTTTATTAGCTGATGCCTACTAAATGAACAGTGAATCCTCTAAAAGCAGAAAGCACTCATCATTGGACTACTCAGCAACAGTGAGTGTGTATTTGGTATTGGTAAAGAAATCGATGAGTGAACTACAAGAATGTAAGTCAAGGCCAAAGTGCTTTTTGTACTAAGAATTTCATCTTAAGACTATTTCCTAAAATGGTAAAAAGTCATTTGCAAACCAAATGACTAGTTATGGGAGATAGTTATCTAAGGCAATTTTAGCTAATGAATTTTGTAGGTATTAAAATATGAGTTTATAAAGAGTTCACATTAATATAAAAACGTTCTTATTAAAGAAAGTAGAATTTAAAACTGTATTAAATATTACTGAAATGAAATAATGCAGAGAAAAAAATATATTTTGGTGCATTTTCTTCAGGTAATAACATTTATTATGGTGCAGGCAATGTGTCTTTAAAATGGAAAAATGGAAACAAACTGCGCTGGCAAAAAGATAGGGGTATTCTACTTGGAGCCTTAGAATCTGTTCACGCACAAAGAAAGCCGTGTCTAAAGGATATCAGAGTGAGAGTCTTCAGCTGGTTGGGTTTGGACTAAAGTGAAGAACGTGGAATATTGTCTTATTTTTTTCCCCTTCAAATTGTATCTATTTAGATTTCCTAAAAACATGTCTATTCATTTATTTCAAAAGGGATTATTGAATTTGGGGGGCTCTTACTCTAGGTTTTATATCACTAATCCATCCACCAGCTCAAAATAAATTCTAGAGTAACGCAGTTACTGTATGCAGTATGAGGAACGCTAATTCAACGCACAACCCTCAGATACTATGAAATGATAGATCTCGAATGCCTCTCAAAACCAAGATCACTTAAAACAGGTCTTTTATGTAAAAAAGAACTTTATCTGGTGAACCATACTTTTGAGGTGCCAAAATAAACTTAAAACATCCCTTCAAAGAGGTTTTTTTTTTTTTTTAAAGATTTTATTTATTTGACAGAGAGACACAGCGAGAGAGGG